GTCTTAGCATGCGTGTCCTGGAAATGCCCTGTGCAGTCTTAGCATGCTTGTCCTAGAAATGCCTTGTGCAGTTTCAAGAGACACTGCAGGAAGATGCAGTCATCTGGATCTACTCAGAGGGGCAAGAGTACCTTCCAGGAAGTGTCCTGCAGGACAGCCGCTGTGACACTGACAACAGGACAGACGGCTGGCCTGGTGAGCAGGCACACGCTGCGCTACCAGCACAGGGAGGTGGAGGCGGGAGGCTCAGAATGCAGGGCCATCTGCAGCTTCACCACAAATCCTGGCCAGCCTAGGCTACCTGAAACCACTTTCCAAAAAACCAAATAAGAAAATGATGTCAGGTCATAGACTACGAAGGAAAAATTAGTAAGTTAGGATACTAAAAATTCAACACTTCCGTGTAGAAGTTGGCAAAGCAAAATGATAAGGAAGACTTTAAGAATCTATTTTGTGAAATATACAGGCAATAAAGATCTTTTATCCAAAATATACAAAGTACTCAGCTACACAGCAAGTTCAGAGCCAACCTCCTGGGATACATAAAACTGCCTTCAGACAGACAGACAGACAGACTATGCTAGTGAGTCTAAATACCAAAATGCACAACACCCTGACATCAGGTAAAGGTAATGGCGCTGATCTAAGTAATTGCAGATGAATGCGGTGGGGTTGAAGGCAGAAGCGGTCACAGACACGCACTGTGGTAAGGCTGGCTTGAACAGCAAAAAAAGGCAGCCACTGCTCCAGCCACCTTCCAGCAGCTTATGAGATCCTGTCCAAAGATATTTAACGTTTGTTTCAGTCTCTCAGGTTGGAAGTAGCAAAGCAGAATCGGCTGAGATCCGAGGAGCACAGCCTGGCACGAGCTCCTCTCCCAGCTGCCTTCCAGGAGTCAGTGAACATGGACAGGTGTAGCACGTGTTTCTGAGGCCACCAGCAGAGAGCAGGCTGCTCACCAGCGCTTCCCCACAGCCCTTAGGCTGGTTATCTCTACCTCTGAGGACAGGAAAGGGCACTGAAGATCAGAGAGACTGGTCAGTTGCCAAGGGTTGTCAAAGAGTTTTGGTTTTGTTTAGTTTGAGCAGGAGTAGGGGTTGGAGCCAGAGCCTGGACTTTACAATCAAGCCGCATACAACTCCACACAAGATATGTAAGCCCAGATGGCCTTAAATTCAAGATGCTCCTGCCTCATCCTCTTTAGTATTTGCCTCTTGACATGGGTTGCCATGGACAGAACTGAAAATCATGCCCCCTCCCCGGTCTGTCACTCATGTTCTAACCCTCTGCTCTGCTTGGCCACCCACACATCCACCACACGCCTCAGCACCATCGGAAGGAACCACCGGGAACTTCATTGAGGACTCACCCACGACATCTAGCCTGGTTGTTCCCTCTGCCTGATCGGGGGTGACCACCAGCTTGCACTGGTATTCTCCTGCTTCACTCAGCTCGATCCTGGGCAGATGGAGGGAGGCATCTCCCCATTCTAGCCCCAACAATGACACACTGGCTCCAGGTCGGAATGCCTTGCGGTGATTTCCATAAAACTCATAGATGGGGACCTCGGCTTCATGCCATTCATTCTTCAAGGACCAGATGATTCCCACAGTTGTTACGTCCAGGTGGGGTAAACCAGGGATTTCACAGACTATAGTGACGTTGTCATGTAGGAATACCATCTGTGGCATCTCTGCGGTCTTCACTTCCAGCCCACCTATAGAAATAAAAGAACTCAGGAGGCTCTTGGTACCCAGTTAATGGAATGCGATGAACAGTCCCTGTTACAGCCTTGAATAGCTCAGAGTAGCTCTTTCCTAAGGGCCCTTGTTAATCCAGACAGATCTCCAGCCCTGTCCTTTCTTTTTAAGCTTGTTTTGGCTGTTGGGGGGGGGGGGTCCATGTGCATTTTAGAGTCAGATGATTAATTTTTTAACTAAACATTACATCTATTGACTGCATGTGTGTTAGTGGTGTGTATGTGTGTTGGTGGTGTGTATGTGTGTGTGTGTTAGTGGTGTATGAGTATGTTATTGGTGTGTGTGTTAGTGGTGTGTATGTGTGTATGTGTTAGTGGTGTATCCATGTGGGCTCCAAGAAGCAAACTCAGTTCATCAGGCTTAATCTGCCAAATCATCTCAGCCCCAACTGATCAATTTCTACTATGAAGTCTGACAGGAGTCACAGCAAGGCGGGAGATCCATTTGCATGTATAATAAAAATGTTATATTTTCAGTTAATGTTTGGTGATGTGCTAAGTAAGGAATTCTTTATCCTTCCCAAATTTATACGTCAAGGCTAAAGCCCCACTGGGACAGCATTTAGAAGTGAGGACTGTGGGAGATGATTATGGCATGAGGTTGCAGCCCTCTGAATGGGATTAAAGCCATTGACAGGGGTGTAGGATGCAAGAAAGACATCTCTACCATGATGACAAAATAGGAAGTTGTCCTGGAGCAGAACTAGCCAGCCCCTTATCTTAGATTCTCGAGCTACAGAACTAAGACCCTTACATCATCACCATGAGATGAAACTGCTCCTCCTCACCTCTGCGAGACCTCTGGTAAAGATGCCTGGGTGAGACAAAGGCAGTTTTTCTCCAACCTGGCCTATGTTCCCACATCATGGTGAGGAAGCAAGGCACCAAGAGGGATGCAGTCAAGGCCAACTGCACACTGTAGGTCCTCAAAGCACAGCTGAGCAACCAGTCAGCATATCTGCACTATGACAAGAGCACTCACATATACATATATACATACA